GCAGCCTGTCAGGTAGGCCCGAGTAGTATGTCTTCTGTAGTAAGTTGCATGGTGTCCCCCCAAAAGATATCCCCACCCCAGACCTTAGAATGTGACCTTAATAGAAATAAGGATCTTTGCAGATATGTGCAAGGATCTCGAGATGAGATCATCCTGGATGAGGGTGGACCCGAAATCCAGTGAGGAATGTCTTTATAGGAGACAGAAAAACAGAGACAGAGCCACAGAGAAGACCATGTTGGCAGAGATCGGAGTGATCTGTCTTCAAGCCACGGAGGGCCAGTGATTGCTATTAACTACCAGAAGCTGGAAGACAGGCATGAGATGGATGTCCCTAAGGGCCTCCAGAAAGAACAGACCCGCTGACACCTTGGTCTGACTTGTTTTGGGGTAATTTGTGACAGCGGCCCAAGGAAACTAATATGGCCTCTTTTACAGCAAGATGAATAGGCCAACTTTGACCAAGTTTTGCCAAGAGTTACAAGTTTTGAATTAGGACACGGAGTTTCTTGTTAAAAAAAAAAAAAAAAAGCAGCTTTTCCTTGACTGTCAGAGAAAATCATTGTTTCAAGACACCGGACTTGGCAAGCAGGCGTGAGTCTCGCTGAGGCCCATGGGTTGTGGTCGCTGCCACGGGCAGGCATCCAAGGCCACTAAGAACGAGACCTCTAAACTCACCAAACAAGATACCTGCATAGAGTGAATGTTCTGGAAACCAGAGGAATTTTCTAACACTTCATGCACAGTCACAATTCAAACAGGTGACACATTTCAATACCTATTGCACGTTTATACAATAGTTCATACAATGAATGGGCTGGACCCTTGGCCTGCAAAGTTACTTTAACCGTTTTTTTTTCCTGTCTTCACTGCAAGTTTTTTGCCCAAACTCTATTAGGTGCTTTTTCACAGAAACAGAGACCAAGGAGTTTTAACACAGGCACTGCAGTAGCTGGAAGCTGAGGGAGCAACTTGCACCAATAAGCAGCTTTGCACTTACTTTGGGTTTTAAGTGATCATTAATTCAGCCTCAAACTCACTTTTAACACCTGAAAGCTCCAATCCTACCTCTGGCCACTTGACCTCCAACATTTATCAAGTGGCATTAGCTATCAGATCCCTGGAAGTCCTGTCCCCTAATGCGACCCACGAAGCACACAGCCCCTGAATAGATAGGACCTCTGCCCTCTTGCCAACCGCTGAGTTACCAGGTCCGGGGGCAAGTGTATTATTCCCTAGCCTGGTCCACACAGCCTCCAGTCTTCTTTTAAGGACATTTTAACTTTATGAGCTCCACACGGGGCACCAATGTGTCAAACTCATGTACACGTGACAAGGCAGGGCCAAGGTCAAGGTCTAACGGACTTGACCAGCAAAGATACAAAGAGATTTACAGTTAATTACTTACGTGCATGGTGAAAAGAAGAAAAAGGTTTTCCAGTAAACCTTTCGTTTTGTCTCACATGCACCAATGACGATTTCTCTCGCAGAGATGCTGGTTAGCCTTGTTGTGAAAGGTAGTTTCTAGAATCAAATGTCTGTGTGACTTTAGTAACAACCACTCTGAACTTCAGTTGCTTCATCTATAAAATGGGAATAACATTCACTTTAGAATTGTTGTAAGGGTTAAATAAATAATCCATCACGTAAAGCCCTTAATGCCTTAAACGTGTAACAAGCACAATATTTATCTCGACAAACACTGGCCACCATTAGGAAAGTATCCACAGGGTTTCATTCCCATGTTTAACCACCTTAATTATTCCTGTTTTTGTTTTTCGGCCGCACCTCAAGTGGCTTGCAGGATCTTAGTTCCCCGACCAGGGATTGAACCTGGGCCCCGGCAGTGAAAGCACTGAACCACCAGGGAATTCCCTAAGCTGCTTTTTTTTTTCCACCTTAATTATTCCTAAAAAAAAAGTCAGGGAGCCAATAAATATTAATCTCCTATATAAAGCTTCCACTAAGACTTGAAAATCATGTCCCAACATTTATCCAATTATTTGGGAAGGCGCTGTAACAGCAACACTAAATCTAACCCAATGACCTTACCCCACCCAGTCACTTTGCAGAGGAAGAGGGTTAAGTATGGTATCACCATACTTAGCAAATATCTCTCACTGTCCCCTGTGGAAGTCAAGTTTTCACTGATCTGCTCAACATCCAGGGCTGCTAAAAAGCCTAAGTGGGAGGGACAGTCCTTAGTGTGTTCCTTCTACACCAGACTTCTCGGGGTAGCCACATCTATTCACTCAAAAGATAACCTGGAATGTTTCTTTAAGTGTGGCGTTGCCCAGTACCATCATGTCATCTTTTAAGGATGGGTGATAGAGTGGAAAAGGCTGGACCGAGAATCAGGAGAGCCAAGTTCGGGTCCAGGTTGTCACACAAGGCTGTCCCTTCAACCAATCTGGGCTTCAAAAAAGGAAAAAAAAATAAGGGAGGGCAGGGTCACAGTAGATGATGACCAAGCTCCCTTCCAGGAAACTCCCCCCAAAAGCCATTGGCACCGTTTTTCTTAGGGCAGGTGTCAGGAACAGCAACTGCGACTCCTCTGCAGACGTTATCCAACATCTTCTTTAACGGTGGAGGCCTTACTCCAATATGCAAAGTAAATTAGGAGCAAGGCCATTTAAAAGCCACTCCTCTCTTGCTATCCTGTAAATATAAGAAAAACCGCCTACTTTGCATCTGAGTGGCTCTGGTCCCTGGAGACCAGAGCTCAGCCCGCCCCCCCCCACCCCCCGCCAGAAGTCTGAGCATCTCAGCTACCAGATCTCCCAAACCCTCCCTGAAACATAGACACAGTTCACAGCTTTCAATATGTTTCCTTTTATTTTGAAATTGAAACAGCGGAATGAAGTGATTTGTAGCTGAAACAACCTTCACAGGAAAGAAAACGGGAGCGCGCTCACCCAGCAAAAGAACAAACCCCAAGAGTCGGAGGCAGCCGCCCCACCTCCCCAGACCAAGCGCAGAGCAGGTTAAAGGGTGGAAGGAAGGGTACAATCAAAACCCGGTGGCGTCGGGCCGGCAGATTCCCAGCCAAGTACAGTTTTCAAAGTGGCCGCAGTTACAGAATACGGTTACACATATCACAGGCGTGAGTCCCCCCTCCAGCCCCCACCCATGTTTCGCATTTATAAAAATACATTTTTCACTCTCGCACGTGAGTGATGTCTCAGGACCAGACACCAATTCACTTCGCCTCAGGGGAGGGGGCTCTTTTATTCTGGTTTCTGGCACCAGGGTCAAGATGCTGGAGAAAGGGGGAGACCTCAAACGGTGGCAGAGGGTTTTTATTCCTCCTGCTAACTCATTATCGGCTGAAATTCGTCTCGAACACCTTTGCACTGCGGCAGGTTACAGAAACTTTGCATGGAAGTGTTACAGGTGCTCCCCCAACACCCGGAGGTTGAAATGGTGAGACCAGACTTCAGCACCCCAACATACACAAGCCTTTGTTCTTGGTGGGGGTGAGTGAAGTCACCTGGCTGAGAAGCAACAGGGAGAGCACAGGTAGGAACTCACTGGCAGGAATGGCGTCTGGGGTGGGGCAAGCCGGGGGGCAGATTGTGAAAGCTGAACCTGTTAGAAGAGCACATCATCTTAAACAAGTGGAGAAAATCGCCGAAGAGTGAAACTTATTTGCGGGGGAAAAAAAGAGAAAAGTTTGGGGAATTAAAACACTCCAGCAGTCACTGGAAAATGTCTCCCTCTTAAAATTTTTTTTTTTTGGTTTTTTTGTATTTTTTTTAAATTTTTTGGAAAGTATTTTTAAGGTAATATTTTTCTTTTCCTTTGGAAAAAGAAATCTTTTTCCCCCCCTAATCTAAGCAAGTGGAGTTGCCACTACCTAATTTATCTCTATTGTCTTGCTAAGAGGTAGATAAAACAAAAGTGAAATGGGGCTTCTATGAGGAGGTCCATTAGAGGGTGGGGAGGGGCTGGGATCGCCCAGTGGAACTCCCCGACTACAAAGACTCCTGAGTGACCAGAGGACCAGGCCCTCGGACTCTCAGGATAAGGGGTCCTGCACCACCTGTCCTTCTAGAGCCAACCGTCCCTGTGAAGACTGGGAAGGGGTACAGAGGAGGTGGAACATCTCCAAGAAACCCTGTTGAAGAGGTCTTAGCTCCGGCTTCCCCAGGCTTCCTGGCTTTGGGGCTGAGTAGCGGGTTCCAGGCTGAGCCCCACATCTCACCTCCAGGCAGCCCCCTCTGCGGGAAGAGAGGAGGCAAGTCCTCTCCTCACCCTCTGGTCCAATAAGATACAGCAGGTGAGGGAGGGACAGGCTGAGGGGAACAAGGTGAAGCATAGGACCCCAGGGGCAAGGAAGGCAGAGAGGGGGGCCTAATGGCCAGTCCTCCCAACCCAACCGATGAGTATCTAGCAGGCATGCCTGTTCCTCAAGGACAAACCTTCTGTGGCACAAGCCTCAGCTCACTCCTCCTGACTGGGATCCAAACCCTTACTCGCCAGTCCCAGCCCTTGGTTCTAATCTCTCTGTGAGGATTGAGGTAGTTAATGCGTTTATACTCCTAGCATCCGTCACCTGTGGTTACTCAGAACACATGCCCCGAGGAGGTTCCTGCTATTTCATTTAAGGAAAGAAATTCTTTCTTTTGTCTTGTCCATCCAGATGCAACCAGACTACGGCACCAGGAATGGTGCCCCCAAGGAGCTGCACGGGGCCGAGGGCCAGGGCTGGGGCTCCCGCCCTCACCCTCTAAATCCACCTTCGGTCATGAGGCCCCCTCCCTGTTCTGTACCCCGACAGAGAAGCCTTATGTATCCAAAGGAAAGAAACTGAAGTTTTTAGCTGGTGTTCCTCTAAGTCTGAACACAAGAGAAAAGTCCTGCATCTAAACCACCAAGAGTTTGGAGAGGAAATGGCTTTATGTCCCCTGGCATCGAGGATTCTCCTAGCTTCCTGCAGCTACGGTGGCAGGCTGTGCTGTTTTCCTCCTACCAGTTTTCAACAAATAGGCAAAAGTTGGCGGGGTCTGAACGGCAAAAGCCACTAGGATCTCCCCACCCACACTTCAGGGGGGAAAGGGGACTCCCCACCCCTGAGCCAGGAGGAGGAGGGGAAGGCTGGACTGGAGGCAGAAGCTCGGGCAGTCCCTCTGGGGCTCTGTGAGGTAGTTATGTAGTACTGCTGTTCCCAGTTTGGCAGAGGGTACGTCTGGGGTGGGAGGAGGGGAAGGCACCCTTGAGAGCTAACTGAGGCCCCTCCTCGTTGCCAGTCTGCCAGGCCTGAAGAGAACTCGCAGTGCTGCCTCTGCAGTGGGGTCAGGGGACAGAGCACAGCCCCACTCGGAGGAGCCCCGAACTTCCCCTCCTCCTCCAAAGTGCAACCAGGAGCCATCGGACCCCCTTCTCAGCTCCCCGCCCCCTGGCACGTACCGCCCCCAATCCCCCAGGAGCCTCAGAAGGGAAGGGGCGGGTCTCCAAGCCCACGCTGCGTCCGGGAGCCCTCCCCCACTCAGACAGCCCAGGTCTACGTCAAAAGATGGTTATTGCTTCGATTCAGAAATGGCGTCTCTCAGCCTCTGTCTGTCTGTCTTTGGCACAGAGGAAAACGGACACACAGAACCAACTGGAGTGTTCCCCTCCAGTGTTCTCTGGGTTTTACACAGGGTCTTTTCTGCCAATCGTGAGGCATAACTTAACAGCCCCCAACCGCCCCCCAGAAGTGGAGAGCTCAGGGTAAAGGGAAAAAGACTGAGAAGGACCAGGTGAAGGGGAGGAAAGAGAAGGTGATGAAACTCCCTGTCCCTAAAAACAGCTCTCTCCTCCCCAGACCCCTCCCTAAGAGCCAAGTCCACAACCCAAACTGCAAAAGGCAAGCAGACCCTCGAGGGGTTTCAAGCCATTGGGTGTCACTGTCAGATGCAGCTTCAAAGTCAGGGAATCAAACCATTTTGGTTTTTTACGTGTTCCACAGAATTAAACAATATTTCCCAAAGTGATGGTCCTTTCTTCAAAATATATATGTAGCTCACACACATATCAGAGCACAGAAGCTGTTTTTTTTTTCAAAGTCGTTTTTCTCAAATCAACCAAACCTCCCAAGTGCGTTTCACGTTGTTATCTCACCAAGGATGGGGAAATGGAGGTGATGTGCAGGCGGGCATGAGGTGCCCAAAGCCCTCGTCTACAGGTCAAGGGCAGACCCACCAAGACAGGCCTTTTATCCTGCTAAACCTTAACCACCAAACCATATTCCTTTGCTTTCTGGTAGCGTAACTTCCACCATTTTCCTGCTGGGCGAGTATCAGCCGTGCCTAGTCCAGGTCAAGTCTGACAGTCCCTTGCCACACTCCTGGTCTCTTCTGGGAGCTGAGTCAGCGAAAGGGAAAGGAAGTGGGCTTCAGGTGTGAAGGGAGCCGGATCCCAAGGAAACTGAACACTGCAACAATCACATTTCAGGTACTGTGGGGATTTTATTCCGATGGTAGCGTTTGAACCGGATATCAAAGCATGCTTGCTGCCGGAAATTCACCTTACATCACTAAACGGCCGACGTCTGAACGTTATCTGCTTCATCTTGGAATAAAGCGTAGAGAGCCAGAAAGAGAAGTTGGGAGACCCTTTTTTTTTTTTGTGGTTTGGACAGGTGGGAAGCTTAATTATACTGGCCTGATAGCATCCCTAAATGCTTTCCTGCCTCCTCCTCTTTGGGGTAGACAGTTCTGGGGGCTATCCAGGAATGTCATGGGGAGAGAGTGACAAGACACAAATGAGGCAGGAACCTGTCCCCAGTCACATTCCCGAATCCCCTGCCCCTCCTTGCCACCCACCACCCTAAATCAAGAATTTGGTAAGTTTGGGTCCACGGTTAAGAGTCCATCAGATCAATCGAAAGAAGACGGGGAGACAGAGGGGGCAGTTAACTGTTTGCCCCTTGGTCTGTTGATAAAAGACCGAGAATAGCAAGACGGGATTGAAATGAAATAACAAGAACAAAAAGTGAAAAGCACTGCAACAACAAATCAGGTGGACCTCTCTGAGGGCGAGAGGATGGCTTTGTCTCTTCCACTAATGGAATCTTGGCTCCCATATTTTTAGACAGAGAAGTATAGATTTTTTAAAGGGTATCTTTTTTTAGTTATTATTTCTCTCCTCGATAAAACGGAGGCAATATTTTTAAATATCTCAACAGCACCACTAGTGGGAAAAACCGACTGGGGTGCCCTTTAACCAAAGCGGGGAGGGGAGACCACAGGCCGGCCGTTGGAGGGGCTGTTGTTTCGCCCTTGGGGCCGCAGTTCTGCTGGGCCTGTTAATCTCATCAGGCAGGATTTTCCTGGGAGAGGCTGGTGGCTTAGGAGATCAGAGCCTGGCCCTGGGCTCTCTCACACGCATGGGCCTTCCCCCACTCGGCCCAGCCTCCGTCCAAGGGGCAGCTCCAGCTGCCTTTCCCACAGGGCCTGTTCTCCATAGAGAGTTCCTAAAGGGTTACACTGGCTCATGTTGTAAGAAATTATGAAACATAACTTTCTCGTTTTTTTTTCTTTTCATTAAAAAAATAAAATATTCAAGACTATCAGCTTCTCTTTTGCTTCTTTTCTTTTTTATATAAAATATCAGCAAGCCGCAAAGAAAAAAAAAGATTAAAAAAAAAGAGGTGGGGGAACAAAGAGGAAAGTAATTGCTGAGGTAACTTCATACCTTGAGGTAGTTTACTTCGCGCACAGCATTACCTGACTGACTCCGCCCACATGTCAAGGTTGTCTGGTTGTTACTGTCGTTGTTGCAATGTCGGAAGGAGGGGAGTCCAGAGCATGGGCTCGTCCACATGCGGGAGGCCTTCCTCCCTTCCCAGCACACTTGATAGCATTGTCCAAGGTAGCTAAAGTGCACCACCTGGCTAACATGCACTGACGGTCAGTACGTCTGGAGGGGAGGCCTAACCTCATTTAACTGATGGCTGATAAGTCTTCCACAAGGGCTGAACTGAAAACGGGATCTTGCTGAGCCTGGAAAATTAATAAATTAAGCTTGTTTACCCCTTTGTGCACAACGTTGCTGGTATTTTGAATTTTGTTTTTTTTAGGCACACGTAACGTCATGCCAACGACTCGTGGAGGCAGAAGCCATCAGTTCAATAGGCCTCTAGGATAGAAACAGAAGCAAATTTTCTCTCCAATTTACTGAACAGTCATGAAAGATGCCAAATGATGGACTTCAGCTTTATCAGGAGCCGAGGGTCGGGTTCCACGTCCCACCACCACCAAGGGAACAGTGCCGTGGGGGGGAGTGCCCCGCAACCCCTGCTTCTGGGAACCAGCCCTTATGGGAGCACATGGGCTGGCGTGAGGGCACAGTGGCAGCCTTTGGGGCCACTCAAGTCCTCCATGGAACTGAGACTTTATCAAGGGGCGTTAGTGTCCCCTTCCCAGTGCTCGTATCCAATCATTAAAATAGACTTTAAAAAAATATAAAATCTGCCTGAGAATGATAGGAATCAGGGACAGTACAGTGGTCAGCCCCTATCCCGCTGAGCAGTCAGTACCACCCATGTGCACCTGGACATGACGTGGGACTTACGTGGTTAGAGGGACATGAACGGGGCGGGAATCCTAGTGGGGAAGCCCCAACAGAGCGGGAAATTTGAACTGTGCCAATTTTTCAAGGTGGTGATCTGGAATCAATCAGCCACAAGGGCACTCCTTTTAAACGTGGATTACTGTACAGTTCAATCACCTTTCTCCCCATTTCTCCCCCATTCCTTGCCATTCCTACTGGCTGGTTAGGAAGGGATTGGAATTAATCTACAGATGCCAATGTGTCTTCTCCCTTCGAGTCAATAACGTAAGCAAAGCAATGGATTGGTTCTCACTTTTGCCAGTAGCAGAAAGGTAACATAACCAGCGTGAATATACGAAAAGGCTATGTCAGGGCACAAGAATAGAGGTATTTTAATCAATAAACCAAGTAGAAGGTTGGAAGGATCTTAGGGTCAAGAAGTAAACCATCCTTTGAGGTTGATTAAAACACCCCTCTGCGTGTTTTAAAAGCCTGAAGGAAATTTTATTTCTCTTCCCACTGGGGTCTGACCCACCCTCTCGGTGGGACCTAGAGAACTTAAACAATCCACGTTTAAAAGCACCCTGAGCTAGAATTTCCATGGTGACACCCTCAGGGGTGGGCAGTGTTGGGCCAATTGGTTGGGTGTTTAGGGCTGAGAGATCAGGGTTCCTCACTGGAACAACTTCCTCAAGCAAGTGGGCAAACCTGATCTACATCCCGGCCCAAGTGTCCCTGATTCGCGCTCATTCTCAGGCCTGCTGGGGAGAACGTGCTCTCGATTTCGGCCTGTTGTCCTTGAGCCGACGTGATGGGTAGGGGCCCGTCACTTCCTCCGGGCCTGGGCCTGGTTACTCTGTCCCTTTTGGTGCAGCTGTTTGACTTGGGCCAAGATGTCTCGTATCTTCCGCTGAGCCATCTGCGGATAGAACAAACGAGAGTGAGGGTCTCCGAAGGCAAGGAGTTACAGCCTTACGTGCGGAGAGAAGCCATCGGGGTCTGGACACCAGCGGCAACCACAGGTCACGTTGGACTTGTAAGAAAGGTAAGAGAAGACTGAGGATTAGAGTGACCATAAGTTTCTTTGCCTCCGAGCAGACCCTGAGCACCCACTGGATTCATACAGAGGAAGGGAGGATAAACAGTAGTATAAACTCATTCATCAGAATTTAAAACATGACCCAGTTGACACATGTTACTGAACTCGAGGGGGAACTCCCAGAGTTTCCAGGAGCATGTGTTGTCAGAAGGTCGAAAAGCAGGAGACCTCGTCACCAATCCCAACTCCACTACGCATGTAAACATCCCAGGAAAGGGGATGAACTGGGATAACCGAAGGCAGTGAAAGAAGCCCCACTGTGGAAATGGACAGAACACCAAAGACTGGCATCTCTACTCTCTCCTTCTTAAAAGTGTCTTCCCTATGAACAAAGTTGTCTAAGGGAAATCAACTGTAGAATGTGATTCTCTTGACAGAAATTTACCAGAATGTCTCCTTTCCATAGATTGAGTGCTTGACTTCTTGGTTGAAGAGAAAGTTGGTCTAGGTTGGGGAAAGAATGTGGAGTCGATATTTACACATTAATTCTTACTCTGTCAGCCCTGTGCTTGATGTCTTACACAGTTTTTCACCGAGTTCTCATTTTAACCAATGAAAAATGTCACCACTTTGGTACTTAATACACCCTGGCTCTCTGCATCCCTGGATACATCATTTAAATCTCACATTCCTCACTTGTACGATGAGGTTGTTATGAGGGTTACACGAGTTAATAGAGACCACATAGAATGCTTGGTGTAGCAGCAGAACCCACAAATCTTAAATATTTCTGTGGCTATTAATGGCTCCCAAAGGGCTGTCAGAGAAAGCTGTCACGCTACGCTGGGGTCTGGGTTCCTGTCTTGCCCTTGACTGCGTGAGCAGCCTCAGGTGGGCCACCTGATGTGACGTGCTTATCCTCTGTGAGTGGGAGGGACTGTATCCAGTAGTCTCCACACCCCTTCTAGCTCCAACACTAAGGGGTTTTAGGAAAACCCCAGTAGCTTCCAATCATCCTATAATTTGAACCCGATACCTGCCCTCCTTTCTAGACTCTGGGGTCAGTCCCAATGCTGGGCACTGCTGACTGGCTTTACTGGAAGCAGTGCAGGGATAGATGGTGAGTTCCAGGAAGAGAACAGGAGGGTGGAAGAACTGGAAGCAAGGACGGAGCAGTGGTTCTGGGAAAGGTGAAGGAACTGCACCGCAAACGGGCAACCCAGGATGTTATTCCATGAACAAGGCTGGGTGGTGGATAAGATCCATTTCTCTCCTTATCCAGTGCAAAAGAGAAGGACTAAGGTTAGACGACAGGGAAGACTATTAACGTATAACATGATACACCATAGTTATTACATAATGTAGACTACCTATGAAAACGGTCAAATCACTGTCCCTACAGCCTTCAGAGGGAAAAGAACATCTACACCTCACACCCTTACACCTGGAAGGAAAGAATGACCCAGCCCAGAGGCGGGCAGAGTGCACGGGATTTGTCGAGGTCATGCTCCCGGAGCCCTGCTGCCCTCCCGTGATGGGGGAGTGACATACGTACCTGGCTGGCATAGAAATGCCCGATGATCTTGACGATGACCTGGTCGTTCTCATCAGGGGTCTGGTCTCTCGGCACCACCACCTCAGCTGCTGTCAAATTTTGCAGCTCATTCACCTGGGGGCAGGGGCAGGGAGGACGGGTCAGAGAGGAGCTCAGGGTGCTGCCATGTCCAACATGGATGGGACTGGAGGCTCAAGAGCGTGGTCACTAGCAGCTAGAAACTGGAGGAGTCAGGAGCTGGGCTTGGGAAGTGGAATCAAGTAAACGGGCAAATCGGGAGTACCCAGGCCGAGCCGGGCGGAGGAGCTGGGGGCCAGGGAAGAGCTGTTGGGTTTGGGGACTAGTGTCCAGAGCTTTCAACCTGACCCTCACGGCTCACCGTTTTGCCACCTTTGCCAATGACCCGGCCAGCTGCCGACGCTGGCACCCGGATGTGGGTCTCCAGCTTTACTTCCTCCTTGGGACCAAAGAAGTTCTCCTCCTTGAGTTTTCCATAAATTCTTCCCTGAGCCTGAGAAGAGGAGGTCATTGTTGTGTCAGCGGGCCACATGCATATGACGAAAGGGAAGCTCCCCAAGCCCCACCCCTTCCTCCTCCGGCCCACAGGCCCACGCCCGCTCGGGGTGGGTCACCATCTAGGCCAGGTGATACAAAAGGTGCACAGGACTGACCTGCTCACTTGTAACACTGGGGAGCCCGGGCAGAGTAACCGAGTATGAGTACGTAGCTCCCCAGAGGGACACAGCACCTAAGCTACAAACCAGACCTATGGGGTCTGGGATGCTTGCGTGGATTTGGACAAGCTGTGGCTGGCAAGTCAGGCCCTGAGTGGCAGCTGGTGGAAGTCACCCACTCGGAGGGCGGGCTCTTGGTCACCCCACACAGTCTAGAGAGCTGTCCCCGCTCTCCACCCCTCCCTAGGTCAGAATAAGCTATCAGCTCTTTGACTGTCTGCCCGGAAGTTCGAGAACCTCGGCACGTCATAGGGACGTAAAGGAGAGAAGGGCCTTCCTTAGTCACTAAGGCAGAGGGCGAGGAAGAAGCCCTCGGACTGCCTTCTTTCCCACGTGCCTATTCACTCTCAGGAGGCAAAGAGGGAGAGCAACAGAGTTCCCGCCTGACGTCAATCTGAAAGCAGCCTTGCAGCCCTGTTTTGCAGGGAAGCTTAAAAACAGGACGCAGATTTGCGCTCCCATCCAAACTCGATTCCTCTGGGTCCTACTTGGAAAAACAATAAAGATCGGAACCTTGAATTGGGCCTCTGGGGGTCCAGTGATGATGACCATACGAAGTTTGGAGTCCGGAGTTTCAGGAGGAGCAATCTACAAAGCAAACGCCCGTCAGAGGTGCCCTCTACCTCCACCTCCTCCAGACCTCTACCACCCTGCTTCCACTCCCCACCTGGGACGGCCAGGGGAGGGGAGAACAGAGACCCCGAACCCCAAGGCTACTGCACCTGCATCAGAACTCTTATATGAGGGCGTGGGTGCGTTCGTTTCTTGACGTATTCTAAGTTGGGGCGCCCCGCCCACACCCCATCTCCCCCACTCCCCAGCAGGTTTCAGCAGAGTCCTGCCAAGAGGGAGGGGCACAGAAATTTAACAAAACATCTGTTCACTGTGACAGGTTCTCCATGGCCAGGGAAGGTGGAAAGACGGCTAACATTTACTGAGCAACCACTGGGCACCAGACACTGAGCCAGGGGCTTTGGCTGCATCGCCTCAGAGTATCATCATCCCTACTGTACTGACGAGGAATCCAAGGCTCAGGACCTAGAGCTCAGAAGCTGCGATCTGAACCCGGTCGGTCTTGTCTGAACTGAAGTTCTCTTCTGTGCTACAATACCACCTCCTCCCTTAGCCTGAAAGCCCAGGAGCCTGGAAGGCATCCCCCGGAGGACTAAGCGAGGTCAAAAGCAAAGCGTCTGCCCAACGCTGGGCAGACGGGGTGTCTGAGAACAAAAGCGGAGGGTGATGGGAGCAGAGCGCTCTCCCAGCCCGGGCACCGGAAGGAGACAGGGCAGGTCACCTTGATGGAAGCGCTGGCGAAACGGGAGAGCTGTTTGATGTGCTGCCCCTTCTTGCCGATGATGGCGCCCACTGCCTGGGCAGGAATGAACACCTGCACCATCTCCTGCTCTGGAGCCTGCTGCCAAGACAGGACGTGTTATTAACGCAGGTCAACGGACACAGCCCGGAAGCCCTCCGTGGCCCTGCCCTGCATCCTCGAGGAGGGAAGGGTGCAGGCACCCAGCGGCCACCCTGGGCTACGTGCTCTGTAGCTCTTTGCAGCAGGGACAAAGGGAAGAAGCCGGGCCAGACAAACAGGAAGAGTGCTGCCAGCATCTGAGGCTGCCGTGCACAGGGCTGGTGCTCCAGAGGGTTGGCTTCAGTGGCTGGGAGCCCTTCCCTCTCCCCGCAAATCCCCAAGCGTCAGGCTGCCACAGAGTTGGACCCTGCAGCCGCATGGTCCCCTGTAATAAGACCCTGCACCTACCATAAAGGAGCTGTAGGGGGCAGCTCCGGTGACGCTGCTGGGAGGTGGTGGGACTGCACTGGAGGAGGCTGGAAAAAGGCCTACAGCAGCCAAGTTCAGGCCGGGGATGAGGTGAGACTGCAGCTGGGGAAGGAAGGTGAAGAGAGAGAGGTCGGCTCATTCTGACAGGACCTGGTGGCCCTTGTACGTGGCCCCGGCTGAACAAGAGGGTGAGTGGGCCTCAACAGCGGAATGACGTGCTTTTGCCCCAAACCTGCCTGCCCTTCTGGTTTTTACACACACTCACATGTACACCGAGGGTTCTCGCTGGACTAAGAACCGGCAGCTCTGAGGAGAAGGCCCAGCGTTAGACCCTCAGACGTCCTTCCTCTCTAGTGGTTTACAGCGCTCTGACAGAGACATACGTCGGACTCAGCCGATGACAAGGAAGAGACACATCTCTGACTTTCAGGACTCACCTTTTTGGTCACGTGCCCCACATCCTCACTCCCCTTTAAAAACCAGATGAAATTATGGACCCTCTCCCCACTAAAGTGCACGGAAACACAAACTTTACAGGAGGATCACAGACCTCAAAGCCCAAGACTGGACTCCCACTTGCACCCCAGGAATCAAATGAAGAATCCCTACTAATTTAATTTAAAAAGGATTCTGATGAATCGAGGTCCAAAAAGCAAAGCAAAAGCTCCAAGGCCCGGGCTTCCCTGGTGGCGCAGTGGCTGAGAGTCCGCCTGCCGATGCAGGGGACGCGGGTTCGTGCCCCGGTCTGGGAGGATCCCACGTGCCGCGGAGCGGCTGCGCCCGTGAGCCATGGCCGCTGAGCCTGCGCTCCGCAACGGGAGAGGCCACAACAGTGAGAGGCCTGCGTACCACAAAGGCCCCCCAGCCTGTGAATGCCCACCTCACTGGAGACCCACTTCTGCCATGGCTCAGGCTCACAGAAGGGCAAGCAGAGGCACCCGACACTCACACTCATGGCAGCCACGTCATTCTCATAGGCTTCCCGAACTTTCTTCATGATCTCCTGCTCGGCCCGGCAGCAGTTCTCGATGGCGCCCTTCACGGTGATGGTCCTCTCGGGGTTATAGAGGGTGAGGTCCTGTAGCCTGGGGCGGGGAGCAGAGCAGTGTCAACCTTCCACTGACAGGCCAGGACCGGGACACAGGTCCTGGCTGGGGCCGAGACACAACGATGCCATTTCTGCAGGCTGTTTAGTTTTGGGCAAATAGCTCTCTGCTTCTGGCCTTCGGTTTGTAACCGGGGCAAGGATTCCCCACAGGGAGGTGAGGATACTCAGAGCAGACTGGTAGGGCAAGGAGGATGCTCATAACTGGAAGCTGGTCCCCAATGGTGCCGAGCACTCCACTTCCTGTGCCCTCAGCAACAGAGCAGTTACTTTGCCCACGGGTAAGTCTCTGACGACATCAAGAGGCACAGTGCTCACGGAGTTGCCAGTCCAGCTGCATGACTTTGGTTCCCCCCGCAGTGAGGCAAACCACCACGCACAGCAGGTGCTCAGGGCTCAGAAAAGGATCTGGGTCTGTCCACATCCCATGGCCTGGCAAATGCTCCCGAAACCCCAAAGCCCTGGCTCCTGGCCACAGGTTCTCTCCTCCAGATGCAGAGCAAGAGAGACAGGATGTGGCAGCAAAGGACTGAAGAGGCAGCAGGCTAACAGCAGCCCAGAGCGGTGACGGGCGCTATAATAAATGCTCCAGCCCTTACGGATAAACGCTCTTTACCGCTGCTTTGAGTCTTCTTCTTCAACAAGCAGAAACTGCATCCAACTTAAGGGGCAGATATTAAGGCTCAGCCATGAGATACTGCCACCCCAGGTGCCCAGGCATCCCACTCGTAGAGGGAAATGAGAGAGTGCCTTACGAAGAGATGGTGATTTTCGTCTCTGTGTCCTGCTCCACCTTCTTCAGGTTGCGCCCCTCCTTGCCAATGAGACGCCCCACGAAATTATTATGGGCCAGGATCTTCAGGGGAACCTCGTCAGCCCTTGGGAAGAAGCGAGGGACAAGAGCTTCTTAGATGGTGGGCCACCGCAGACGAGGGGTTTCCAAGGTAAACCCCAAGACAAAATGACGTTTTCAAAGAAAACCAGCAGATCAGTGGTTGTTTAGGGAGAGAAATGGGAAGCAGGGATGGGTGGCCAAGGGCACAAGGTCAATAAGGGCGATGGGTATGTTCCTTATCCTAACTGTGGTGATGGTTTTATAGATGGAAAGAAGCGAACTATAGGACAGCGTGTTCATTATGTCCTACTTGTGCTAAAATACACGCACATATACACACGTGCACACACCTGTGAGGGCACAGCGTTGCTAGGATACACAAGGCGTTATTTACATGGAGGATTCATTTTCTCAGCTTTTATCCTTTCGTACAATTTCTGTGTCTCCTATCTGTCTCTATTCTTGCTTTTAAAAAGTCTGCGTTAGGGCTTCCCTGGTGGCTCAGTAGTTGAGAGTCCGCCAGCCGATGCAGGGGACACGGGTTCGTGCCCCAGTCCGGGAAGATCCCACATGCCGCGGAGCGGCTGGGCCCGTGAGCCATGGCCGCTGAGCCTGCGCGTCCGGAGCCTGTGCTCCGCAACGGGAGAGGCCGCGGCAGTGAGAGGCCCGTGTACCGCAAAAAAAAAAAAAAAAAAAGTCTGTGTTATAGTCGAGGAGGTGGCAGTCCCCATGTGCCCAGAAGCTGAAGCCTTACGTTTTGGTGTCCTTTGCCTCCTTGTGCATAATCTCCAAGATCATCTTACAGGCAGAGGAGCAGCCCTCGGGGGTCGAGTGCACGCTGATGGCCTTCTCGGCAGCGCCTGCGTTCTCCTTCCTGTGCACGTCGATCCTGAGGGCCACAAGCACACGGACGTTAGCTAACCCTCAGCCGAAGCTACAGTCCGGCTCCTTTTGGAACAAGGCCAAGTGCAGAGCTGAAACGGGCAGAGAAAAGGGCCAGCCTGTTGCTATGGATTCTGTCTCAGCCAGGAGGTGGTGGCTGAGAATGGTGGCATCTATCATGGGAATACAGGGTTGGGGGATCAACAGTCCTCAGCTCTGAAGCTGCATTTCCCCTTGAATTCTGGATTTCCCCCTTGAAAGAACTATAAAGAGAAGGCACGCTGTCCCAAATTAAAAGTAAATAATAAAAGGATGCATTATGAATAAGGACACGACGTGACCTGTTCTCTTTCCACAGAACACACAACGATCAGCTACAAAGATCAGCGAAGAGGGGTGGCTGTGGTGGAATGGGAGATGGGTCAGAACTGTGACCTCTTACTAAGGTCCCTGACGGGCCCCATCCTGCTGCCGCCAGTAAGCGGTGCTGAAATCACAGAGCACTAAGGAGTGGCCGCCTTACCGAGACTAGGTTTGCTCGGTGAGACTTTCTACAAGAAACAAACCCTTCTTACTAACGAAAGTGTGTGGCCCAGCCACTGCCACCAGATGGCACCCCCCAGGCTTCTTCTACCTCCCCAACGTTTCCTAAGAGGTTAAGTTGAGTTGAGGACCCTCAGCGTGCTTCCAGGAGAGGCTTCGCCTCCTGGGCGCCAGCCACTGTTCCCTGGCCCCACCTCCCCTTCCCCTGCAGCCAAGACTCACTTGGACTGGGTCTGTTTCGTGATGTTGCGGATGGTAGCGCCCTCCTTGCCAATGATGGCGCCCACGTACTGGGTGGGCACAAGGAGCCGCAGGGGGATGTCCACTTGCTGTTGCTTGGCTGGGGCTCCTGCTGCCACAGGAGAGCCCTGGCGGGGCTGACCCCGAGAGCCAAAGCCGCCTCGGCGCCCGTTCTCGGGACCCTGTGCTATCTGCTCATCAGGGATGTAGGAGACCTTCAAGGCGTGGTTCTCCAGCTGGTGGCCGTTCAGCTTCATGATGGCTCTGAGGACAGAGGGAGAATCTACTGGTCACTCCAATCCATGCCAATCACACCCAATGCCCTCCAGGTGTACAGCACTCAGCTGGGTTACAACGCGGAACATGCCAGAAGAAAGGGAGATGACCACCTGTGCACCACTCCCACCTCCACCTTAGAGAAGCTTCCAGTCTAAGTAGCATAAGACATCAAGTAAGGTAGCATAACACAAATAAGTTATCTCCACTGAATTCTGGAACTGGCTTGGGAATTTCGACCAGAGCTACCTATCACATAGGATTCACAGGAGAACCACATGTGATTCGCGATACGTGAATAATAAATAAAACATGCCAGAACAAGTTTTGTTGTGTCACCTCTTGAGAATGATACTGTCCATGTTTAAGCAAACTCCATGGAAACAGAAGAGGTGGAGACAGAATGGCTTGCAGGAGTTTAAGTCTGTCTGGAATGTCTGAAAAGCGGGACTGATGAACACTGGAGGGAGGGGGCAAGCGCCGTGCATTCCCAAGGCTGATGCTGGTTAGAAATGTTAACAAGGCAACAATACGCAGTAGGAAGGAAGCAAGTGTTGACTTAAAGCCAGGTCAAGGCCCATAGATCAGCCACAGGGACCTCCAGAAAATTCTGAGTCCAGCAGGCATCTAAAAGAAAACTGAATGGCTTGAGAAAGTGGGTGGATTTGACACGAGGTTGGAGGAAACAAATATGATAGAGGCAACATGCTGAAGGGACAAGAAAGCCATCAAAAGCAAAATGGCCTAGAAGTGAGCATAAATGAGTACACAAAGTATACAAGTCTGTCAGTACCAGTGGGTGGAGAAGTGTGACTCAACGAAACAGGCTAAGGAGCCAGAAACTGTGGGTGTGATGGGACTCAAGGCAATCCCCGAGATAAAATGTCTGCCTCCGCCACATCATAACAAACCCTTTAGGTCTTAGTTCCTCCTCATCACCACTAGATGGCGCCATCAACACAGCGAAGGACCCCATGGGTTCTCCCGCAACCAGAGACCTATTAAAAGCCAGTATCTTGTCCTAAAAAGGATGTCCCACCTTCCCCGGGAGATCTTTGGGTCCCTCCCTTCAAAGTATTTGCCATCAATCCTGGTGAGGTTTCTGAACCTGAGATTCCTGAACCAAAAGACAAGAGTCTGGATTTGGCTGCCACAAAATCAGAGGCTAGGTGTGGACTCGTGCCCACCTGGACCCCATCCCTGCCCAAGCAGGGGCACCTGACTCCCACCACTCACAAAGACCCTCCTTTGCCCCACTTTTGGGTCCACTCACTGCCTGGTCTGCTCGCGGTTGGAATAGGTGACATTCACCACTGCTGTCTCACTCTCGGTGTTCACTGGGGAAGCAAAACAGAGGTCAAGGTTAGAGCAGCGAGATCTGGAGACGGCACCAATGGTGTAAACATTGTAGAAAGCTCATCTTTGATGGTTACGCGATCAGGAAGGAAATACTTGAATGATGAAGCCTTTCCCCTATAGACCACGTTCACCACAACTCCTGGAAAATTCAAATTAGACTTTACGTGCCTTCCTTTGATTCCCCTACCAGCCCTCAAGAGGGACAGGAATACACAAGGGTGTGCAGTCAACACATTCAGCAGTTATGCAGCAGGGAGAAAAGACACACACACACGCACACACACACACACACCCCTAGTTTTTTTAACTAGTTAAAATCACACACCTAGTGAGACTGGACCAAGAAATGGTCTGCAAGGACATGGCTGAAGAGATTTGGGGAAACACCCAAAAGCATTTTAGAGTATCCTCAAGGATATACTGATCAAAGGTAGGTGTATCATGACCTGGCTGAATGAGCTGACAAGGGTGGCTGCCACGGAGCCCGGGGGGAAGGACGTGGGAGTGGACCTGGGTTGGACATTAGAATTCCAGGCGATCTGGGCACATACTCTTCCCCCTTTTGGGACTGATAAAATTAACCGCTTATGCCTCGTCTTGTGATTATGGGTCGCCTAGGCCTGCTTAGCCCCTGGCATGGAGGACATGGATCAAAAAAATCAAGCCGCCGCCCGAGGACACTGAAAGCACTTAGCCACAAAACTGCAACGCAGACCACTCTCAGCCCTTCTGACCTCAGCGGTACAGCTCTCCCACCTCAGTGGAGAGGAATATTCTGAAAGAATAATCTACCAGAGACCTCCCTGGTGGCTCAGTGGTTGAGGATGTGCCTGGCCAATGTAGGGGACACGGGTTCGAGCCCTGGTCCAGGAAGATCCCACATGCCGCGAAGCAGCTAAGCCCGTGCGCCACAACTACTGAGCCTGAGCTCTAGAGCCCGTGAGCCACAACTACTGAGCCCACGTGCCACAACTACTGAAGCCCGCGCACCTAGATCCTGTGCTCTGCCACAAGAGAAGCCACTGCAATGAGAAGCCCACGCACCGCAAAGAAGAGTAGCCCCCACTCGCCACAACTAGAGAAAGCCCGCACGCAGCAACGAAGACCCAACGCAGCCATAAACAAACAAATAAATGTAAAAGACGGTGAGACAAAGGACTATTACACAGCCATAAAAAAGAATGGAATTCTGCCATTTGCAGGAACGTGGATGGACCTAGAGAACATTATGCTTAGTGAAATATCAAAGAAAGACAAATAGTGTGCTATCACCTATATGCGGAATCTAAAAAATCCAAATGAATGTATGTGCAAAACAGACACTCAGACAGAAGGCAAACTAGCCGTTACCCAAGAGGAAGGGGGAGAACCTTAAGGGTGGGGGGGTGTGGGATTGACAGATACAAACTACTATGTATAAAATTAGACAAGTGATGGGAATTCCCTGGCGGTCCAGTGGTAGGGACTCTGCGCTTTCACTGCCATTGGCCCAGGTTGGATCCCTGGTCAGGGAACTAAGATCTCACAAACCGCGCAGTGTGGCCAAAAAAAATTTTTAAATAAAATAGACAATTGAGAAAAATATATTGCACAGGGAATTATAGACATTACCTTGCAATGACTCTGAATGGAGTATAATCTTTAAAAATACTGAATCACTATGCTGTACAACTGAAACTAATACATTATAAATCAACTATACTTCAATTAAAAATAATAATAATAAAGTCATTCTCTCCCTGAAAAAAAGTAAAAGGGTGGACAGAGAGGACTTTGCTTAGAAAGTGGCATCTGATGGGACTTCCCTGGTGGCGCAGTGGTTAAGAATCCACCTGCCAAGGCAGGGGATACGGGTTCGAGCCCTGGTCCGGGAAGATCCCACATGCCGCGAAGCAACCAAGCCCATGCACCACAGCTACTGAGCCTGAGCTCTAGAGCCCGCGAGCCACAACTACTGAGCCCATGTGCCACAACTACTGAAGCTCGCGCGCCTAGAGCCCGTGCTCTGCAACGAGAGAAACCACTGCAATGACAAGCCCGCGCACCGCAACTAGAGAAAGCCCGTGCGCAGCAACGAAGACCCAACGCAGCCAAAAATTAATTAACTAAAAAGTGGCATCTGAGCAGCCTAGAAGACTTAATTTTTACAAAATCAAACACTTCCCATTCTGTTCTCTCCAGGTAGCAGGGATTGCCCCCGGATTCGGTATGTTATAGCTCCCTGGTGAGCCTCTTAACCAGCGGTGACTCCTGTTGGGCGCCCCCCGTGAGGCTCTCCAGTGTGCTCCCAAGCCATTGCTGTCTCTTTGTCCAGGAGTAACGGAGTCATCAGTCTAAGCTGTAAGCAGGACTGGGTGATGGTTATCAGCGCTTCCAGTTGTGTCCTGGCATTTATGATAAAAGGCAAGCTTCGGGGTCAGCAGGAGAGAACCTGTCTGATTGATTCAGCACTTCATACCTTTATGCAGGCAAGTATTTTAATCGTTTATAATGATTTACAGCTTGCCCCTTTCCACAAAGAATTCGGAGATGAATACTTAAGTCTTGTCTAGGTTTCTTAAAGGTCTGCAAACTCAAACTACTTTGTCTACCTAACGACCAAGCTCTGCTTTAAGTCCAACCCAAATCACTCCACATTTTATTTTAGCTTATTTTCTCTGCAAATAATTTATAACCTTAAGCAATAAATTCAAAAATCGTACCAAACTTCTTATGATCTAGAATAAATAAATTAAAATAATTTATAACCTTAAGCAATAAATTCAAAACTCGTACCAAACTTATGATCTAGAATTCTTTTTTATTATTTCTCCTTCTTGAAAGAGAAGTGATAAAAAGAACTTAATAATAAAAATAAGTTCTTCTGCACTCTTGAAAGATGTTGCCTGCCCGCTATCAATATGTACAAAAATCCTGTTATTTTTTTTAATTGACCAAAGACATGTAGCTCACAATCAGAGGTTCTACAAAAAAAAAAAAAAAAAAAAGACAACCCATTGATTATTCCAGACAAAAACAAAGAATTGTGAAGCTTTTAAAGTAAAAGGGCTACAGATTTGCTCAAGCCGCGTGCACAGTTTCCATTCTTAATCTATTCCTAAAATCTTGGGACGTCTATTGCTACCCTGGTTGACCCCAGGAGCCTGGGGACCCCGTGCTTGGAATGAGTGACTTTGTTGAGTCTCTCATTAAACAGAGGAGAAACCTGTCCCGGAGAAGCAGCAGAGCTGAAGCTGGAACTCCATGTCCCAGCCCCCACCCCAGCGTACCTCCCTCCACACCTTTGGCCGTCTGCCCCTCTTCCTCGCCCACGCCCCCGCCCCCAACTCCAACACCCACCCCTACCCCACCGCCCCACTCCTCTGCCCACTCTTACCTTGCTCGCAGTTCTCCACTGTCCCATACTGAGCCAGCAAGCTGTCCAGTACCTGGGAGCAGGGAGAAGGGAATACGGCTGCGCTGGGCATCCCAGGAACTCACAAAGCATCACTAGACACTCCTCACCCCAAAGCACCGGGGTACAGGCAGAGCCTTTGGTGGGGATTGAGCACGTCACCTGCTCAGTTTGCCCTTTCTCAGGTACTAATGCTGACGGCAATCCGTCGGGGTGTCTTCACAGAATGTACTTGAGCTCAAAAAGGCATTTAAGGGCCTTTTTGGAAGCAGACCTGTGCCACCGGAGTCCCTAGCTGATCCTCTGTCATCACTAAGTTTGGGGTTCAGAGGATACCCTTCCCACCTCCCTAATGCCTCTCACAGTAGGGACTGCCCAAAGGACTAATACTGGAA